AAACTCCACCCAGAAAGGCCCCCGGACCGGGATTTGAACCAGGGAACCTGTTTGCTGAGAGGCAGCAGCTCCACCAGTTGCACCACCGTGCTGCCACCTTAAATCTCAAACTGCTAAAATAATTTTAAAAAAGTTGATGTAATCAGCTGGTTTTTCTTTGGATTAAAAAGGGTTTACTAACTGCCATGTAATAAATTACTGAATTTGTTAGTATTATATTAATAATTTAATTGTATTTAAATGCATTAAAATATGTTTTAGATTGAAGTGGCTTGTATGATTTGGACTTGCTGCATTTTTGTTTAGCTTATCTTTATATAAATAAATTGAATTGACTTGAATTCTCGTCTTTTTGCTAAATTGGCATAGTAATATAATGTTTACTGAAATATTTTACGTACTCTATAATGCTACACAAACATGTAAAAGCAGGATAGACAGGTGCTACTGCATAAACTGAGCTAGAAACATGAACTACACTTTAACACAGAGTTCCCAGCAACTATATTAATAACATGGGCGGACATACAGCAGGGAGGGAAGAATGGGCTTAGCTGCTCATGTGTCACTGATATGACAGCAAAGATAAAAAAAAAAGAGAAATCTACTTGAAGCACAAATATGTCTACGTTGTTAGTGGAAGACGAATAATGGATGTGAATAGTAAGTAAAACGATCGACCTCAGCCACATCCATTTCATCATCAAAGGCAATCAGCTGCAAGAGAAAAAGTATAGGAGGCAGAGCGTTAGTAGAGCTTGTTAGTGAGTTAAAAAGCCCCTTTTTCAAATGTGTAACGCCCGTCATTCATACACACACCATGTGGAGCTGATAGAATTGTGAAAGTAAATTTTGCACCTAATCACCACGTTTTATAGTTTCCAGCATCAAAGCAAAGATCATATTAGGCATGTCTGAAATTTAATATCCAAAAAAATTAATTGTAAAAGACCAGTTTTGAATTCAAAATTTAGTAATTTTTTAAAGGAAACAAAATTAAGGCCTGAAACCTTTGTTTTAAAAGAAATAAACCCCAGCGAGACACATACATACATACATATATATATACATATATATATATACATATACATATATATATACATATACATATACATATATATATATATATATATAACTTATATATATAAACTTTCAAGTAGACTTGAACGGTCTTTGCTGATTTTCTACAAAGAAAAGAACATTTTACAGTTTTTACAGCTTGCTTTCCAGTTCTATTTCGTATAGGCTTCACCCTTTAAGGCTATCGCTAGTGGGTTTATCCCTTCGCGTGCAGCACTGAAAACTTTAGTTCGTGCCCACTGGCTGTGTGGGCCCCACCCCCAATCCGTATAAATTACGGTAAGACTGGGTAATCGGCTCCCATTTTTTCTTCAGCCAGCTAGCTAGCACTGTCAGAAGAATGAAGAAGGAAAAGATGTCCAGCTTTGACCGGAACAACTTTTGCTAAGGATGCTTGGGTCTCTGCCACGCCGACCTCCTGCTGTCCCTGTGAGCTCTTCCTCCCTGAGGAGAAGCAGAGACGAGCAGCCTTGTTCAAGGTAAGTGCCGAGGAGTGGTTTTCCGTGGCGGGCTGCTACCCACTGGACGACGCAAACGCCTTTATTTGACGCACAGTGAATCAAATGGTTCCTCCGTGAAAATTGATGCTGGAAACAACCTTGCTGCCCCTTCCCTCCTGGAGAGTGTAGTGACGGAAGACAAGTGGCTCAGCCACCTCGGGTCTTCCCACACAGGTGACCACACCGCTCCCAGCCGTTGGCACCCTCCTCTCGGAGCTGCCCGGTATAATCCAGGAGGCTGCTAACACAAAGGGACTTTTCGTCCCTCGCCTCCCTCCGCCCTGATCGGATGATTCGGCGGGAAGGTTTGGCTCTGCCCCGGCTCGTCGCCATGACCCCATCTGGCCTCGCTGTCCAGCTCTGACGTCACACTGGAACGAGGCTGCAGCTGAGCCCGGCAAGCTGAAGACATCCGTCTCCACCTTTGCCTCCATCTCCAGAGTGGAGGGTTTTACCAATCGATGTTTTTTCCCTTGATACCCTCCCCCCAGAGCCAAGCCTGGCGGAGGCGCTTTGGGCAAAAGCTTCCAGGATGGACCAGCAACCTGTCCCTCCAGGGAAGCATGACGAGATGGTGACAAAGCTCTTCAACCGAGTTCGCCAGTATTCATTCCAGGTGGCCGCGGCGAACAACAACGTCACCCTGCCGGCCTACAGCATCTCTAAGAGGCTGGAGGAAGCAGACCTGCTGGAGGAGACAAAGAGCTCTCTCGGTAAAGCCAATGATGTCATCTTAAACATGTGCGCCACCTCTGCGGTCTGCCTGTCCCGCATCGCCGCCTGGATTACCATGATCCAGAAGACCACTTGGCTCCGCCTCTCGCCATCCTTGTCCAAGAGGCTGAAGAAAGACCTGCTGGAGGGCCCAATCACCCCAGTGGTGCTGTTCAGGGGCAACTTCAGGACCAGTCTTGAGAAATTGCAGAGGTCTGAGGAGGTCTCAGAGACTGTACACCATCTGGTGAAGCCACAGTCCTCCTCTCGCCCCTCCGGCCACTGGAGGGACCGCCTTGGCCAGCAACAGCAGCAGAGGTGCTCCACAGCTGTGGCAGCGACTTCATGCTCCACTCCTCCGCTGGCCCACTACACCAGGGAACAGCTCCTTGAGGGGAATGCATGTGTTTTTTGATGATGTTCGTTTTGAAATAAAACAGAAACATCTCAGAGTAAAGTTTCATCTGATTCTAGCCTGACTGTCAGATGCACTGATCTCACAGCTGCCTCTCTTCACACATTCCCCACACAGAACGAGTCGGTAACTTCTAAACAGCATTTTAAATGGCACCGCAGTTCTGTAAATATCACAAAACACTCGTCTGCCACGTCAGCTAAAATTATGTTTTTTTCAGCAGACCGAGTCCGGTAAAATCCCTCGCTCTCAGCCAGAGCCCAATTTTATTTTCTGCTGTTTTCTGCCCACTCACCGCGCAGCGGGAGTAAATGCATTTCTCCTTGACAGCTGCAGCCTCCACCGAAACGGCGTCTCACTCAGAAAGCGCTCACGCCTCCTCTCAGTGTGCACCGGCTCACCTCAGCTCTAACGTGGGGGGGGCTTAGACAGAAAAATGTTGTATGTGTGCCTCTGTACTGAACCCCCCCCCCCCCCCACCACCACCACCACCACCCCTCTGGAGCAGGTGAAAGCAGTAAAGGTTTTTAAGTCTGGTTGATGTCCATGAGAAACATGACAACACAAAATGCGTGCCCGCTCTCCGAGCGTTACTCAGAGTGGCAACGAGTGCGTTCCCTGGACAGATGGACGGACCGTCTGATCAGCAGGGGTTACACGCTGCAGTTCGCAGCTCAAGCCCCACCGTTCAGTGGGATTATAGAGACGGTTCTGTCTTCTCCAGAACAGAGCTAGCCTGCTTTGTTTATCATTACACTGTTACAATTAGTAACCTCCGTTGTTTCTATTCACAGCAGCAGGTCTGCTATCTCAGCCTTTTTAACTCACCAGAGATCATTTCTCCGGTGCGCTCCTGCACATAGAGCACGCAATTATGCAGCGCGTAAACGCACACAGAAGACTGAGTGATAATTTTTTTTTTTGTGCAAGCAGGTGCTTCATTTTGTGTCTGAATGGACCCAGTGAAGCATAGACTACATCCTGCTTTGTCTTTAACCCACTAGCGATAGCCTTTTAGGGCGAAGCATATACGAAATATAACGTTGGCTACGTACTGTAACCCCAGATTCTATGAGTATAGGCGCAGCCCTTTAAGCTCTGGGCCTCACTGGTTCCTAAATGGCTGAAGAAAAAAGCTATTTGGGAGCTGATTGCCCGGTCTCACCGTAATTTATACGGACTGTGGGTGGGGCCCACACAGCCGGTGGGCGCGGACTAAAGTTTTCAGTGCTGCACTGCACGCGAAGGGATAAACCCACTAGCGATAGCCTTAAAGGGATGCGCCTATATTCGTAGAATCTGGGGTTACAGTACTTATCCAACAATATGTGCTGATGTGTGCTGCTCCCAGTTGGACTGTTTGTAGATCATCTCAGTTTTATTATCTCACCCACAGAACCACCTACAGGTGATCACTTTCAATTATTTTCCAGGCTAATAAATCCAAGCTTTATTAAAGCAACAGTTGTTCAGTGACAACAACATCAGTGCTTAGTGTCTATAAGTAGTTTGTATTGTGGTCAGTGGGTTACCAGCCAAAGCCAGCCATGTGTGCAGGTGAAGAACTGCACACATCACAACTGTGGCCAAGTTTCTTTATTTGTACTTGTTTGTGTGTGTACACACAAAAATGTCCATAATAATTTTGGTAAATAACGCCTAACAGAAGTCACAAAATTGATGATATTTCTAAACCAATGCAACAATTTAAAAAAAAACTGCTTTTAGTTTGATACTTAAACTGTTAAAAGGAGCTTTTTAGCTGGATTCTGTTTTACTCTGAAGTTAAAGTATTTGCAGTCCTCACAAAAAAGAGAAGAGAAAAAAGAGCACATAGTGGGCAACACATTTTGTGTTAGTTGAAGAGACCATTAGTAGCCAATGGATGGTGTGTAAAATGACTTGTGTGAAGGAACTGGAGCATGCATGTCGTTAATGATGTTAATTAAGCTGGTGTTGATAACTTTGATCATGTGTTTGTACAGCTTGAGAAATTTGGAAAGAAAAGCAACAAAGAAATCTATTTTTTCTAGTAAGACAGTTTTGACCAAATCCTTGAAGAGCAACAAAATTAAACAAAAATGCAAGAGTTAAATTACCACGCCTGCAGTGGTATCACATGAACCAAAAAACCAAAAGGAAATGTTGAAACATTCCCACGTTGGACCAGTGGTGACTGAGATGTCTGAAAGTTTTGATTGTTCACATTAGTTGGGCCCAGAATTTCCTGTTCAGCAGTGGACCATTCTTGGGCACAACCACAGTCAGATAGGACACAAGACTTATCTTACCTTGACTCCATAGCCTCTGTCTTTTGTCATCATTTCCCTGAGTGTCTGGAGTACTTTGATGCACAAACGCTCCTCATTCTCCTCCAGGAGTTGCTTGGTGTGTTTGATTAATCTGGTTTAATAGAAGAAATCCAGGAAGATAAGTGAGTAAGTAAGTAAAATATGTAAGTCAGTAAACTAAGTAAAGTAAATAAATAAGTAAAAAGGTAAAGTAAGTAAAGTAAAGTAAGAAGGTAAAGTTAGTTAAGAAAGTTAAGCAAGTAAAATAGTAAGTAAAGCAAAACAAGTAAAAAGTAAAGTAAGTAAAATAAGTAAGTAAAGTAAATAAATAATGTAAAGTAAGTATGGTAAGTAAAGTAAGTAAAGTCGATAATGTAAATTAAGTGAAATAAGTAAGTAAAGTAAGTAAAATCAATGAAGTAAGTGAAATAAGTAAGTAAAGTAAATAAATAAATAAAAAACTAGTATGATCTTTAGAAGGTGGTGCCATAATATAAATCCATACCATTAATTAAAGTTATGCTCAGTGTGAATAAAATGAGATCAAAAGCACAGTTGAATGTTTTGTGAAAATGTTTAACTGTATAGAAACAGCCTGGACATCCACTGAAAATAACAGTAAGGAGCTGCAGAAAAATATATAGAGATACAGAAGTCTGTATGAATTGTAATTTTCTGCTTTTGATTTCAAAAAAAGTCAAAGAGGCCGTTTTTGACCTTTAAAAGCAACTATACAGTCATGAGAAAAATAAAGTCCACTCTATAACCCTATTCGCATGGGATTAGTTTTACCTAAGAACCAGAAGTAATAAAGACATTAATCCCCAACGTCTGCTTTATATGTGGCGCCTTCGCACAGGATAACCAAAGCCTGAGATTTACCATACCATACCATTTTATTTATAGAGCACTTAAAACAGCGACAAGGCCAACCAAAGTGCTGTACAAACAGAACAACAGGTAACACACAAAGCAAAATACAAAATGAAGTAAATCAGAGCTGAGTAGGACAAGAAAAGAGCTGGTTGCTGGTATTAAGGCCAAGGCCACATACAGTATGCACAGAGGATCGAGGGTCAATTCATCTCACAAGACCCTCGGAGCATGTGGAGGGGCATTAAGTGCATAACAGATTATAAAGGAAGGAGCGAACAATGCCCCAAAGACCCATCTCTGCCTGATGCCCTCAACAAGTTCTATGCACGCTTTGAAGACCCGAACAGACCACCCAGCACCAGACTCACCTCACCATCGGATGAAGAGCATCCCAGCGTGACCTCAGCCAAAGTAAGGAGTACCTTCAGGAGAATTAATCCGCACAAAGCAACTGGCCCAGACAACATCCCCGGAAAAGTGTTGAAGGAATGTGCTGATCAGCTCTGCGAGGTGCTGGCAGACATCTTTAACACCTCACTTACCCTGGAGACAGTTCCCACCTGCCTGAAGACTGATACCATCATCCCAGTCCTAAAAAGCTCTACAGTGACTGGTCTGAATGACTATCGGCCAGTGGCCCTCATTCCAATAGTCGCTAAATGCTTCGAAAAACTGGTCATGACTCACATCAAAACAACCATCGACGAGGACCCTCATCAGTATGCATACCGTGAGAACCGATCAACAGAGGACGCCATCTCCTCTGTGGTCCACACTACGCTCAACCACCTGGAGCAGAAAAACTCTTACGTCCATATGCTCTTTGTGGACTTCACATCCACCTTCAACACCATGATCCCCCAAACCCTGATGGACAAACTATCCACACTAGGACTAAGCCCCTCCATTTGCAACTGGGTACTAGACTTCTTAACAAACAGACCACAGTTAGTGAGGATCCACAACTTCTCCTCCTCCACCATAACCCTCAGCACTGGCTCTCCTCAGGGATGTGTTTTGAGCCCCCTCCTGTTTACTCTGCTCACGTATGATTGTGCAGCTACATATCCAGGCTGTCACATTGTAAAGTTTGCAGACGATACAGCGGTGGTGGGATGCATCACAAACAATGATGAGTCCAGCTACAGGCAAGAGGTGGAACACCTGGAGAGATGGTGCAAAGAGAATAACCTTCACATCAATGTGAAGAAGACAAAGGAGATGATTGTGGACCTCAGAAGGAACAAAAACATCTACACCCCCCTGAACATAAAAGGATCTGCGGTGGAAGTGGTCTCCAGCTACAAGTACTTGGGTGTACACATCAATGACAACCTCAGCTGGAGCAACACCACCACCAGCCTGATCAAGAAAGCTCATCAGAGACTCTACTTCCTCAGACGGCTGAGGCGAGCTGGTCTGGGAAGCTCAGTCCTCACCTCCTTCTACAGGTGTGTAGAGGAGAGCATCCTGTGCTCCAGCATCAATGTGTGGCATGGAGGCAGCACAGCTGCAGAAAGAAAAGCTTTGCAGAGAGTGGTGAAGGCTGCACAGAAGTCTGTCGGAGTCAGCCCCCCCCCCCCCCCCACACACACACACACACACACATCACAGATATCTACACCTCCAGATGCAGGAAGAGGGCTACTTGCATCATGAAGGACCTCACTCACCACACACACTTTTTGCCCCACTCCGCTCAGGAAGGAGGTTGAGGAGCATTAAGTGTAGAACCACTAGACTGAAGAACAGCTTCTACCCTGAGGTTGTTAGACTCATGAATCTCTAACTAGAATAATCACTGTGAAAAATCACATCATGTTGCTGCTGATCTGTTTCATGTTGATGCTGATCTGTTTCAATGTTGATGTGTTCATGCGTGCTCATCTGCTCACACAGACTCATGTTCGTGTTTGTGCTGATGTTCAATGTTTTTATGTTATGAGTGCTTAGTGTATATTTAGTTGATGTTTTTCTTAGTTCATATCGTAGATGTTATTACTGTTTTTCTTATACATTTTATTGTTGGATGTAACTGGGACCCCGTGTACATAATTTTGCTCCACCACATGTACCACATGAGGTGCGAATGACAATAAAGAAACTCTGACTCCGACTCTCTGATCTTGTGTCATCAACACACCTCCAGGAAACCGACACCTGGTTATCTTCCCTTGAGCTCTGTTTGTTGTCCTAGAGGGCCCCCTGTTGGCGGAGTCCGGGAAAAATTGAACTTCCGGATGCTGAGGGCGTCTGACGGGAGGGGCTGGCGTAGCAGAGCTGGGGAGGCGTTGTGCAGCCGTGGAGCATCTTGAAATGATCTCTCGCTGATGAAAAGGCCTTACAACAAAAGCTTCTGCAGCTCTCCTGAGAGGAAGGTGGAGTGATGAGCCAGGAGAACCTCTGGGACCTTGTTCTATGGCTGCGATGCGGGGCAGCCGACCGCAAAAGAGGCACACCGGTTGGGGATGATGTCAGCTGCCCTGCGAACAGAGCGTACTGCAGGGGCCCGATAGTGTCGTTAGCAAACAGCTGCTACGAGAGCGGAGCGAGCCGAAGGTCAGAGGGCCCACCGTCTCTTACCGCCTCTGAACGTGTACGCCAACAGCGTAACGTGTTGTTCGCTGCGGCCGTCTGGAACGCATGCTGGTGAGCTCAGTTGGAGAGCGGTGTCACCGTCTCGGTTACACTAACCGGAGGCACGGGACGCTGGTCCACCTGGACATCTTGCTCCAATGAAGCCTCCGTCAGGCTCGGCTCCAGGGGGCACTGAGGGACTTTCCGCTCGGTGAACCCCTGCTCTGGAGATGGGTGCAGACTGTGGAGACCGGCCCCCCCAATCTAACAGGAAAAACCGGCTGTGGCCTCGCCCGTAGGACGTCCTGTTGGGAAAACAAGGCCAGATGGATCAAGACGGTGAGCCGGAATGGAATCTGGAAAAAAACAACCTTCCCGCCGGATCATCCGAACTGGCGGGAAAGGCGTGGGACGTAAAAAAGGGTCCCTTCATGTCAGCCACCTCCTGGGTTACGCTGGGCAACCCCAGAGGGCGCCATCGGCCAGGAGCGGTGTGATCGCCAATGTGAAATGAGGTGGGATGGGGTGAGCATTCGCTCAGCCCCCCTCCACCGACACTACGCTCTCCAGGAGGGAATGAGCAGCAGGGGGCTGCAGCTGAGCGCCACCTGTCCCGGAGGAACCATCCGATTCGCTCCGAGGGTCGGCGATAAGAGGAAAATTACAAGATGGCGTTGTCCAGCGTGTAGTGACCTGTCACTGAGAAATATTCCTCGGTGCTTACCTTGAAACAAGACTGCTTGTCAGCTTCTCCTCGGGGAGGAGAGCTCACCGGACGACCGGAGGTCGACGTGCCGGGCCAAGCATTCTTAACAAAGGTTGGTCATCTACACAACTTTCCTTCTTCGTTCTTCTGACTATTAGCTATTAGCTTGCTGAAGAAAAAAATGTGAGCCGATTTCCCGCTCTTAACGTAATTTATACGGACCGGGTGGGGCCCACACAGCAGGTGGGCGTGGACTAAATTTTTCAGTGCAATGCTTCGCATATCGGGATAAACCCAAACCCATCAGCGACAGCCTTAAAGGGCGAAGCCTATACGAAATAGAACTAATCCCGTGCGAAAAGGGCTTATGTCAGTTATATGGTTTTATGAATCAGGACATTATAACAAATACCTAGTTTTTACCTTTATACAATTTTTTTTCCTAATCTTGCTTCAGGTGAACAAAAACACACCTCAGATTCCACCATGTCAATGATGATTGACGACATGTCAAAATGCAAAATTCGAGTTCAACCCATGGCCCAACAACTTGTACAACCACTTTTAGCAGCAATAAACTGATAAAAGTAACTTTCTGTAGGGTTTATGCAGTCTCTTGCTGGGTTGTGAGGAAATTTTGACCCACTCTTCTCTACAACATTACATCAGATCATTGAGGTTTGTATGCACTTGTTATTACACAGTTTTTTTTTAAGGTTCCAACACAAAAGCTGGACTGAGGTTTGCACTTTCACGGGGCCATTAATCTCAATTCTTTTCATAACAGCTTATTATTTTTATTTTCAGCCATTTGGTTGCAGATTTGTTGCTTTTATTAAATATATTTATCCTGTTGCATTATCTAGTTCTAGTTCAGCTGTCACACAAATTACACAAATTACCCCACATTTTACTCTAAAATACTTTGTTCTAGTTTGCTTGATCCGATGACTGCAAGGTCTCCAGGTCTTGTTGCTGAAAAATATTTTGTTTATTTGCCATAACAAGTTTGTGATGCATTCAACCACTGCTGTATCGTCTGCTAACATTACAATACGACAACATAGATGGTTAGGTGCAGTCATATGTGAGCAGCGTGAACAAAAGGGGGCTCAGCACACAGCCCTGAGGGAAGCCAGTGCTGAAGATTATGGTGAAGGAGGAGAAGTTGTGGATCCTCACAGATCTACAACTTTTGGATCTATTCTGATCCTTTCTGTAATTTTTTGGAACTATTATGAAGCCAATAATGGCCAATCTCTACCCCTGTGAAAGTTCTTTATTGTTCTACACCCCACCACAAAAACCTTTTGCTTTCAGAATGCAGGACTACTCGTTTCTTGAGTTTCTAAAACTAGAAAGAAAGTAAACAATTCTCCTCACCTTCTGTGTGGGTTATCAGCACAGATGACCTTTCTATTTATAAAACAAAGCTTTGAACATGTCTTTTCAGTTAGAACTTTATTTCACTTATATGATGTGATCTACTTGTCATCTTGGACTTTTTTGGGAGGTTTACCGTATATTTGATTTTTACTTTGAATGCTAAATATTTTACTGTTATATACTGTATGTTTAATGTGTTGTTATTTCCTATGTATTATTATTATTATTATTACTAATTATTAATTATTATTAATAATATTATTGTTATTATTATTATTGATTAACGTACATGTTTGGTCTAAAAAGGTTATTTATTCTTTATCACTTCTGGTTACAGCTGTGATTGAGATGAGTGGCATGAAACTGAATGTAGCTGTAAAATGCATTTCAAAATAAGTAAAATGGACCAAAAAACAAAAGACACACAGTCATATACTGTAACACAGACTAATCCTTCTCCATGTCTGGTAAAGATGAATGTCTGCCCCTTCAGTTCATTATCTCTAGTGTCCAAACAGTTTTAAAACTAATTGTAGGTAACCAATTTTAGGTTGTAAGGCTTCTTGTTTGTTTATTTCCACAAGAAAACACTGCAACAGATTAGATAGAAGAGAGATTAACACTGATCGCTACAACTCGTCTTTTTTTAACAAACATTTCCCAAGTTTTTTTCAAGCTTTGCTCATTGTATACAGTTGTTTGTTCAGTTCTTCTCTAGGTTTATAAATTATACACAGTTATAAAATTAGTGTTTTTAAAACCAGCGTACACTGCAAGTTTTAGATGTGGTAAAAAAACATCAGAATTGCTTATACCCAATACATTTACATATAAAAGGATTCTACCATATGTCGGTGTGCCGGTGCGCCACAAGATATTTTAAATGAAATTAAAATTGCTAAAAAATACACCTGCTCCACAGACGGGATCTGATGAAGAGTGTTCGTTGTGCACTCTGCGCCAGCACCTGGAGGAATGTACAAATCAACCAAAATGAATGAAGTGAACTCACAGTAGGAGTAAAAGGGCCAGCAGTTTATGACCAATGATTCCAGGTTGTTACAGGATCACTGCTCCATCAGTGCACCAGTCAAAGCTGATTTTAAAACAGATGCCTCCACCTTTCACTTTGCTGAACATCTCCATGATGCATTCCACTCTGTGACCTGGGCAGCTCTGAGGAACTGGAAGTCCAGTTTCTGCAGAGTCCAGTACCAGCTCACACAACCAAGTCTCCATGAAGCACAAAAAGAAATGAAAACAAAAAGTCTAAATTTTCCTCCGACCAAAAGCTTACACTCGTCCTTTTTTTTTTTTGCCAAGTGTGCGCACGTTGGAAAGACATAGTCCAGGCAGTGACGGACACACTGAAGATGATGAATTACCTGTGCAGTATGATGAAGGTCAGTCATGAAGACCATGACTGCACAGCAAAGCAGATGACAGCTCCTCAGAAGAAAAA